TTTCAGAGATTCTACGAAGCTGTTAAAGAGTCTCATCCAGATTTCGAAATTGTTTTCGTATCGAGAGACAAGGAAGCCGATGAGCTGTTTGAGTACTATGACGAGCACATGGGCGATTGGGCGTTTATTCCATTCGGAGATCCCAAAATAGAGTGAGTTTATTTTTATCGCGTTATGAAAGAATGTTCATGGCGCAAATCAGTCCCTTATTTGGGATGCTCCCTCCCAGTTTTCGACTTCCATTGGTAAGAATTAATTTCACATGGCTTTTTTTCAGAGAACTTTTGGAAAAATATGAAGCGAGGACGATACCCGGTATGCGTATAATTAGACCAGATGGAAGTGTCGTTGTAAAGGATGCTCGCACTGAAGTTCAGGTAAGTTCTTAGCCAGTTTGGATACTACTACAAAGGATGTGTCGTGTTTCAGGAGAAGGGCTCTGATCCGGAAGCACTTTTCGACGAGTGGCAAGCATTTTACATGTGATTTTCACTCTGTTAACAGCTTCAGCTTTTTCTGTGAATTCACTCAATGATCGGGCTTTTGTTGGTAACTTATTTGTATTTTGCGATGCATTCTGAATGCCGATATTGTATTAGATATTTAATAATGGTCAGTGGTGATTGTTACATTCCTTCTTTGAGAAATAAAGTCTGAACTTCAACTATGCGCTTGCAACATGAATATTGCTGCTGTTGCTTGGGGAAAAGCGAATGGTTCCTATCTTGCATAGTAGGTATACCTAGGGCGGTCAGCTTTGATTACAATTCCAATGTATCGCCTGGTCTAGTTTTTTTGTAGAAAGTTGTTCTGCATCGAACGCACTAGAACATGTTGTTCAGGGTATTGATTGCTATCATTGATTTCCCATCCACGAGTAGATACCAACTATCTTCCTAAAATTGAGCGGGTGAAGCACCGGAGTGAAGCCTATCAAGGTTAACTGCAGGGACCATTTTTGCATTCCCGGTCATTTCAGGAATGCCGTCTTGCCTGTAGTCGGAGCTTTAGAACTAGTACGGTTGCTAGTCTTGAAGGGGAGCCATATCGCCTATGCTGCTATCTCAGCCGGATGAAGCACTATTACTGTGGATTACTGTTAACATCAATCGAAGTACTGGCTAGAGCTTCGGACGATGTCAGTACTACGGTACGGTGGCTCGACAATCGATAGTCCCGTCGTTCATTTATTATGTTGGATTCATTCGTAATTTGATTTCGTTGCCAGTTAGAGATTTGTGGTGAGACTCATAGCTGAAAGACTAAGTCATCAGTCAGTCAGTCGAACTAATGCCCACACGCAGACAGAGCTATTCATACCTCTGAGGTCGGTGGATCGGCATCGGACTCGTCTGGGAGGAAAAAAGATCCGCTTTGGGGAAGGAAAATCAACTGTATATTGGCCAACCGCGATCCATTTTGCATAGACCACACACGTAATCGAACACTGTCAGGATTCTAGATGGAAGCCGAATTATCGGCGCATCCGCTGAAGAGCTTAGCCGACCCCAAAAAGTTCATTCTTAATTTCTTTTGAAGGAGTCGCAGGGAATGAGACCGTTCTGTCGGTGGCTCTTGGAATTATTATTACAGCTTGGCCATGAATGTATGGGTTCGTGCTGAGGCGGTTTCTGAGGCGTCATGGTTTACGAAGGATCAATCCAGTCTCTTTACCAGGTGGTGTAAAAGCCGTCACCTCATTAACTACAGCTTCTACTGTCTAATGAGAAGGATATAAGTCATTAATGAGCTTGAGGGACGGTACCTACGCTGCAGTTTTATGGCGTTAATAATAACCAACTAGTCCTATCTAGTACACGGACAAAGCTACGAAGGTATAAAGCGCCTGAGCGTCACATAGTAGAGTAGGTGCTGTGCTTTTATATAGCATACATTCTCCTATGCTAATGCTTTTCTCTTATTTCATTCGCCTTTCTCTGATGGTCCCAGCTTTCCCTTGTCATATTTTTTTTCCATACAGAGAAGCATGGCAGGCGGAGATGTTGTAGTGGCAAACGATGTGCGATCAGATTCACGGCCCACGGATCGGGGTTCCGGATTGATCCCTGCCTGAACCAACTAAGCTATCCATCTTCAGGGATCGATTAATTAATGATAGACTCATCCGGGAGGATAAAAGCACATCAGTTGGCCACTGCAAGTCATTGTCTAGGCCACATACGCATTTACAACGCCACTAGGATTATGGATGAAGTCGAATGCTAGGCGTCGCCTATGAATTGGGTTGATTCAAGTCAAAGTCCTTCTCCTTATTGTTTATGCTGCCTCTATCATCTATGAAAGACTATATAGATGGTCCAGAGAGATGACTAGATCTAGGAGACACATCCGTCCAAACTCTTTAAACATTGAGACAGCTCCGTCAACCGTTGTGGTTTTCTATCGCGTCGAACTGCTCCTGTGCTATACTCACCATGAATAAAAACGGATCGTATTGTTACGTAGCCGAAGCAAATGAGCATAACTTCATGAAAAACGACTGTATCGAAGCTGTTGGAACTTGCAGATGTCACATGAGACAGCACGATCTTTTCACCTACTGCTCTTCGATCTATCTATGAGTGCTACTTCTGGCCCTAATTTGCTACCGTATTCTCTAGCATGTCTTTATACCGTTCCCCTCTCTCACCTTTTCCTTCTGCCTCCCCATCCTGGTTTTGTGATTGACTAAATTTATTCAGCTTTAGCCTTCAGCTACTGCTTCATAGAGCATGCTTGTCCATTTGGTAGTAGTGGTCAGTATGATTCTAGCAGTGGAAGGAGTACCACCAAGATCAGTCGATGGGATCACTCCTATACCGTTCGATAAAATAAATCCTCGAGCTAATGGTAGGTTTATAATGGATGAAGGGTAATTCTCTTTCAAGGTAAATAGACGAGAAAAAATTGCCCTTTATTGATACTCCGCGTTGCCAGGTCTACTGACCCCATAACTTTGTAGACACAATCACTAGCAGGAGCATTCATATGGCATGTCGAGAAGGGATAGCGCTATATGGGACCGTTACTGCAGGTGCAGCAACAAGATCGAACCCCGAATCGGCACTTTCTCAGGCTATTCAAGCTACCATCACTCTTGGGTTATAATATTGGTGTCCCAGATATTTTCTGAGGGAAGAAAAGCGCTGATCTTCAAATCAACCGGTCCTGACAGTTGTCAGTACAAGAAAAGAATAAATAAAAATAAAACAAAATAAAAAGCCAATACAAAGAGTATCTTAGACATAATATAATACAAAGAGTATTTTAGAGTTTCGGCGGTTGGATACTGATGGGGATGACCAGATATCATTCACTGAATTCATTCTTGGTGATCAACGCTATATTGAGCGACAGTCAGCCGCATTTCACAAGCTCGACACCGACGGTAATGTCGTTTAGCGTTTTCGTGTTCTTTGTTGTTGTTGTTCTTCTTCTTTGAAAAACTCATCTTCACATTAAAGTTTCCATTTACATTCGTATGTTTTGCAGGGAATGGTGTGGTCTCGCGTGGTGAATACGACGCCTACTATAAACGCATTGACGAAGAACGTAGAAATAACGACATGGAACGTGACCGTTTCTTTGATGGCTTTGTAGGTTCCCATCATGATCCAATCCAGTTTGCTAGTTCTAGCGATCACGATTCACACTACCATGATATTGGTATTCCCAAAAGGCATGACCACTATGTNCATTCATTTTACAGTATTCCTTACCGGTATTTCTTTCATGTTGGAGAAAAAATTTAGTATGTTCCATGTTTGAGGTGAACATTCCAAATTATCATTAATTTATGGTAAATAATAGGTTGATGCATAATTATTGCGGATTTTTTCGCGACTTCTTTTCTCTCAATAAAATTTGACTTTTAAATCCAAGGACTTTCATAGAAATGAACTTCTCGATTTCCTTAACAGAAATTCTCTAGAAAGTCATCTTTATGTCCGCCACATTATGCTGTACTAGTTCGAGAAAGTTCGAAAATTGGCAGAATCATTTCACGATCTTAACGAACTTTTTGGGATAGAACAGTCAGCCAAGGTCAAGAAAGGGATGAGATGTGCTCCTAGATCCACCATATTCATCGATAGACACACTATGGATCATCAGTTCAACCGATTGTTGGAAAATTGGCTAGCTAATAGAACTTATGACGGAATAGATGACTTGGTAGCCGCAGTCAAGGCGTGGATCGCCTCCCAGACCAAAAATTCCCTGCCTGTGGAATACGACTGCCTTGCAAATGAGAAGCGGTGCTTGACGCAGATGGTGGACGAGTTCCGGAGTAATTGGTTGAACATGTCTCTGTTAGATATTCTTATCGTTTTTTTAAATAAAAATTGTTTGAAAAAATCCGCAATAATTATGCATCCACCTAATAATATTACTAATATATAATATAAATAATTATCATGAAAATAGTTTGGTCCAAAAACAGTATAACACACTTGTCAAACTTCGGATCCAAGCGTCCGAAACTGAGAAGGAGTCCATCCAGAGAACTGTCTTTGAGCAGTCTTGTCTAGGTCATCTTGTACATCTGCATACGTCCTCGGGTTGGCTATCGTTACTGGGCACCGGAAAATTTTGTATATGTGGGAGATAAATTTTTTATTTACTTGTTCAGCTCCTGTATGTGATCCCGTTAAAGAAAACGAATTTTAGTTTTTGTATGGGATCAAAAATGCCTGCTCCTCCACTTACCCTGTGAATTTGTGAAGTTAAGACAGGAGGGAGGGGGAGGAGGGAGCGGGGGGGGGGGGGGGGGGGGGGGGGGGGGGCAGATACTGGAGTCGAGGAGCCGTCGCAGTGCCCCGAAAGCAAGTCACCGTTGCGAGGAGACCTGTACTAACCGCATCAAGACTTTTCATCATTTACATCATAAGTCAAAATGACGTACTCATGATGACCCTATTCCAGCGCGGCCACCGCAATGGCGCCTCATGGCCCACATCAGCATTTCTGGAGTAGAGGTAGGGAAAAACGAACTATATGACTGATAAAATGTAATGCAACCTTTCTTCAGCCCTACTTTTTTCGAATTTATCTATTTGAATTTTGGAACTTAGATCTATGTACAATTTATCACTAACTACAAGTTGTAGTTTGAATTCAATAATGAGGAATTCTTAAGAAATTTGGTTCAGAGTCATTACGAACACCAATCTTTCTTCCCTGATTTTCAACATTCTACGCATCGCTATAGGAAGCACTCACAGGCTGCCAACGACGACAATCGATCTTTCTATTCCTATTTCACTCGAAAATGAATTGAATTGGAGAGAAAATACTTGTAACCTTCGCCAAAAACTTGATTTTTATTTTGAGGACCTGTAAAAAATTTTCCAGAAGCATCTGGTTTACCCAACTGAAAGTTGCTAGAAGCTCATGAGATACCTAAGATTGCGAATAGCTCAAGTAGTTCACAGATGAGTAGAAAGAAAAGCAAGAGAATCTCAGTGAGTGTTGCAAAAGGCTCATCGCCCAGCGGTGACAGCCGGTCAAGCATGGCCACACCCATTTTCTCCTCGTCTACGCTCTCTCTACTAAAGACCGCTCTGCGGAAGTAAATGAGGTCTTTTGAGCCGATTCAAGGCTGGAAAGTCCAAAACTACTCTGATATACTAGTGATAGTGACAGTAAGGACTGGTCATTAGTTATTAATCAATAGTATCAATATAATCAAATGGATCCTTCGGGAAGTAAGTCATATCTGATTCACTGGCTGCTTTCATAGTCCGCGAGCGAGTGGCCGGGGAAAACTATCGGCGGTATCGACCAAGATTCAGTTGTAAACAACAACAGCCCCGCCCCGGTCGCTCGCTCGCTCGTGGGCACGCGGGTCAAATCGCGGACTATGAAAGCAACCACTTAGATACACTGTAACGTTGGTTTGGTAAGAGAGCCCACGATAGCAGAAAAAGAACTGCTTTGTTGGCTGTCACATTCAGTCGCGCGATGGGCATCCAACGCACTGTAGAAACTGAGCCCAAATTTGTCAAGATAATGCGCTGCGGTTACTCTGACCCCCCCGTTCGAGTGCTTATAACCTCCTGGATCATGCATTGACTAATCCTTCACAGTGAATCATCGAAGACGGTGTAGTAAGCAACTAAAACGAACATCCTCCAGCTTACCTGACAACCTATAAGTATTATTGGAACGCGAAATTGCTGGGCACTCTTTCAGTACTCAAGCCCAACACGAAACAAATACATTTATTCACAAAAAGTGCTCTAATAATTAAATTATAACAGTATCAGTGTTCAATGGATTCAATTAAGTGATAATGGATTATTGTAAATGGATTACTTCATCACTTGTCCAATCATAAGTACAAAAATGAAAGTGAATGCAGCAAAACGGAAAAACATCTCGATATTTGCTACGTACTCACGAGTACGGTCGTTTTCCAATACTCGTAAATAATGTACACCCATAAGTACCTTCTCAGAAGTGTAACAACTGAAAGACAAAATTCAATAATTTATGGGGAAGCTGAAAAAAGGAGTTCCAAATAAAGTAATGGTTACGATTCGAAAAATTAGAGAGGTGGGAAGGTTGGTTTTGATGACGACCAAGAAAGGCGACGACTGGAATTCCCAAAGAGCATGTGGCGGGGTGTGACGACTGGTTAGGAATCACCGCGTGCTGTAGACAACTAAGGCATCCCCTAAGGAACTAGACCCCCACAACACTGTTTTCTGACACCGACGACGCCGTTAGTCGTGATACTGAGGAACATTTCTTGTGGTGCGGCACCAGTACGCTGAACCTGACGTGATACCATTCCAATACAATGTATGGTTCCGTTGGCAAAAAGTGGAGTGGAGTGGATGGCAAAAAGAATTCCGAAGTTCATCACCACAAAAGTCACAGGAGATGCTACTAGGCGGTCCACTGCTGAGTTCACCTGGCTCGTCTTGAGTTATAGCCTCGTGCGGCGTTCCACACGATTGATTTACCGATGTAGGAGTGACCTTACGGTCAACAAACTCTTGAACTCACAAATATTCGTCAGAATCTTCCATTTCGAGCTTCGTTATGTAAAGGCGAGAAAACTCGTCAAACAGAAAGCGACCCTGAAGTTTGCACAAACTTCGACAGCGGTATACGGACTGGTTCAGTCACCCCTAAGTCATGTTTGGGTTAATGGAATTTTCCGAAGAAATCATGTTATTTTTGTGATGAGCTTCTTTTAAAACTCGCCTTGAACTGTTTCTCAATGGTCTTGAACTGTATTGCTCCCTTCTTTTTGGAAAACCACTGCACACCCGTTGGATCGTCTACGGGCAGCTCACATGTGAAGATTACTGGATCGCCTTCGGTAGCCTTAAGAATAGAAATGGGAGGGATTTCTAGGCCAATGCTATGTTCAACATAATCAAGAATTGAGGGGCAGAAGTCACTACAGCTAGCAATGCATTTTTTACAAGAAGACTTAATTCCTATTTGTTCCTATTGTTGTCACCACATTGTTTGAATGGGTATTGTAAGGCATAGTTAACTCATCACCGGGAGCCAAGCCAAGGCTGCTGCCGGTTCCTCAGGACCATGGGAGCAAGTTTGAACCCGGTCCTCCGAGCAGGATTAATAGCCACCAACAACGAAAAATAGATTTGGTTGTTTGGAATAAAAGCCTTACCAGATAATTCCGTCGAACCACCGGTGCAAGAAGGCGAGGTAGAATTTCACCAAAAAGAAATTCTCCTTTTGGTATGTAGTCCAACACCCTGGTTTCGCCAAGCTCATCAACTGATGTCAGATTACGGTCGACTGCCACTTGTGTAGTGCAAGCTCTCTTTAAGAAAAACGCCAAGTTCAATGGGAGGATACTAGGAAAACAATTGATCTGTGGAAAAAGAATCGCGTACCCAGCAAGGCCGGTACTGCACGAAGGTAGTACTCGAGGCAAATTGTCGACGTTGTTCAAGCGGTACCAATGTTGAGTAGCAGGGAACGGTGCCAAAAAGGTGAATCCAAGTAGAAGCCGGCGGCAGGTGAGAGATAGGACCATCGGGCTGAACTGGACTGGTTTTCTTGAAAGAGTTTAGCCTGATAAAAGTTAACGGTTCGTATGATGTCGCAGGATGGGCTGTCAGATGCCGGGTGGAAAGGGCACTTCATCTCTACTCCATTACATGCGTATTAACTTAGTACTTAATCATCAATTAAATAATTAATTAATTTTTCTTGAATTCATTTTACCCTCAACAGTTGCTCTTTCAAAAATCACTTTCATACGCCCACAAGAGTCTATCATATTTGTGTGATTACGCCACTCTACTTCACCACAGTCTTGTTAAAGAAGGCGATCTGTAAGATAAGGGCGCATGATTCGGCGCCCTCTACCTCTACACTACAGCGCTTCAAAAGAGATTGAAGTTGTCATTAGAGGAGTTGTCATTTTTGGATTAAATCAAAGTGACCACCTGCCACTACGTACCTCAATCATGCATTGAATTCTTCTTGCCTGTTCACCGATTTCCTCACCGCATTTGCTACATTCACTCCATGGCGATACCTGAACAAAAAAGGTTAATTGGAAAACCGATAGGCGCTTGCTGTAGGTAACTAGCTGTCCTTTTGTGTAGGAAGTAACATATTCCTCACCATCGGTTTGGCTTTCAACTTTCCACTAAGTTTTTCTTCTTTGAGAGGAACAGCCGGTGGTATCTCATCAAGTTTAGATTTTATCTAAATTATCCCCTTCATCAATTCCTATTTGTCTGGGAAATCCTACTTTCTAGAAGGCTAAAAAAGGATGAAGGAGCTCTTTCTTCATGAGACCACTAGAATGGGTGCAGTGGACAGGGCTGGTGGTGATGGTAACGACCAAGTTTCATCCACCACACATTTCTTTTATTGCCACTTCTTGAATGCGAAATTCGAGAGGACCCTGTCGGACCCACTCCCAAGTTACGGGGTTGGGATAAAGTCGGCGGAAAAAATGGAAACATTGCACGTGTGCAGGTGGCTACCACATCACCTTGGCCCAAGGCTCCGAAGAGGTCAGGATTAACTAGAAGCTCTCCACTCA